GGTCAGGGCACTGCCAAGATTGTGGGCGGGATCCCCAGTGTGGGGCGTGCAGGAGGCAGCGGATCCATGAGTCTCTCTCATCATTGAGGTTTCTCTCTCTCTCTCTCTCCCTCTCCCTCCCTGTCTGAAATCAATAAAAACATATTAAAAATAAATAAATAAATAAAAGTCCCAACTCCCTTACCTTCCAGGCTCCACTGGGGCCGCTCCTTGCCGAACCGGAGGCCCTCGGCAGCCTGGGCCACAGCGGCTTTGAGCTGCTGCTCCGAGACCTAAGGAAATGCCAGGCACTCACTGAAACAAACCGCAGGGGCCCACGCCAAGCTCCCGGCCAGTCCCGGCTCCCCCCAACCCCTCCTCCGGGCCCGGGTTCCGCTCTTTCCTGCCTCCCACGTTGCAGATCACTGGGAGCTGGTGAGTCCCATCCCCGATGCTCCTGGGTGGCATGGCTCCCAGGCACCTTCCAGGCAAAGTCCACACCTACCCTAGCGGGGCCCGCCGGCTCTGCATCCCCGCCCGCCGCCAACTCCAGGCCACGTGACACCTCCCAGCTCACCGGGGTCTCTCTCGTCCATTCTCATCATCGCACCCGAGAGCACGAACTCTCGGAGCCAAACACCTGTGCTCCAGGCCCACTCCACCCACTTCTATTGCCCTCCCCTCAACTCCAGCTGAAGAATGAGAGCAGTGGCCCTGGCCGGTGTGGCTCAGTGGGTAGAGCGTCGGCCAGCGGACTGAAGGGTCCCAGGGTCTATTAAGGAAATGCCAGGCACTCGCTGAAACAAACCGCAGGGGCCCACGCCAAGCTCCCGGCCAGTCCCGGCTCCCCCCAACCCCTCCTCCGGGCTCGGGTTCCGCTCTTTCCTGCCTCCCACTTTGCAGATCACTGGGAGCTGGTGAGTCCCATCCCCGGCGCTCCTGGGCGGCTTGGCTCCCAGGCACCTTCCAGGCAAAGTCCACACCTACCCTAGCGGGGCCCGCCAGCTCTGCGTCCCCGCCCGCCGCCAACTCCAGGCCACGCGACACCTCCCAGCTCACCAGGGTCTCTCTCGTCCGTTCTCGCCATCACACCCAAGAGCACGAACTCTCGGAGCCAAACACCTTGTGCTCCAGGCCCGCTCCACCCACTTCTATCGCCCTCCCCTCAACTCCTGCTGAAGAATGAGAGCAGTGGCCCTGGCCGGTGTTGCTCAGTGGGTAGAGCCTTGGCCTGCGGACTGAAGGGTCCCAGGGTCTATTCCCGGTCAAGGGCACAGGCCCAGGTTACGGGCTGGATCCCCAGTGTGGGGTGTGCAGGGGGCAGCCGATCCATGATTCCCTCTCATCATGGATGCTTCTATCTCTCCATCCCTCCCTCCCGTCCTCTCTGAAATCAATAAAAATATATTTAAATTTTTTTCATTGTGAGTACACAGCACTATTTTTTAACATAAATTTAGAATGCTTTATTTTTTTAAGATATATTTTTATTGATTTCAGAGAGGACGGGAGGGAGGGATGGAGAGATAGAAGCATCCATGATGAGAGGGAATCATGGATCGGCTGCCCCCTGCACACCCCACACTGGGGATCGCGCCGGCAACCCAGGCCTGTGCCCTGACCTCCTGGTTGATAGGTCAATGCTCAACGCTCAACCACTGAGCCACGCCACCTGGGCTCAACCTTATTCTTTACATTTGCTTCAAGTCTTTGTTTGGGGAGACTTATCTGAGACTTGTCTCTGGTCTCCTATTTGGCTGACAGATAAACAGTATTTCTTACTTCACAGAGAATTTCTTTTACCAAACATCCGAAGAACTCACACCATCCTTCTCAAGCTATTCCAGAAGATTCAAGAGGAAGGAAGACTTCCAAGCTCATTTTATGAGGCTAGCATTATCCTGATCCCAAAACCAGATAAAGACACGACAAAGAAAGAGAATTACAGGCCCACCTCCCTGATAGAACATAGATGTTAAAATCCTCAACAAAATATACCCTGACCGGTTTAGCTCAGTGGATAGAGCGTCGGCCTACGGACTGAAGGGTCCCAGGTTCGATTCTGGTCAAGGGCATGTACCTTGGTTGCGGGCACATCCCCAGTAGGAGGTGTGCAGGAGGCAGCTGATCGATGTTTCTCTCTCATCAATGTTTCTTACTCTCTATCCCTCTCCCTTCCTCTCTGTAAAAAAAAACAATAAAATATATTTTTTAAAAATCCTCAACAAAATATTAGCAACCTGGATCCAGCAATACATGACAAAGATTATTCCTGGGACACAAGGGTGGTTCGACATCTGCAGATCAATGAATGTGTCCATTAATGATGCATATAAACAAAATAAAGAATGAAAGTCACATGATCATATCAATTGATGCAGAATAAGCATTAGACAAAGCACAACACCCATTTTTGATAACAACTCTCAGCAAAGTGGGACTAGAGGGAGCACAACATAAGAAAGGCCATATATGACAAACCCACAGCCAACATCTTACTCAATGCGCAAAAACCAAAACCATTTCCCCTAAGAACAGGAACAAGACAGGATGTCCGCTTTCACCACGCTTGTTCACAATAGTACTGGATGTCTTAGCCACAATGAGGAGACAAGAAAAAAAAACAACCCAAACTTATCCAAAAAGGAAAGGAGAAAGTAAAACTGTCATTATTCGCCGATGACATGACACTGTAGATAGAGAACCCTAAAGACGCCACCAAAACACTACTAGAACCGATCAATGAATTCAGTAAAGTAGCAGGCTAGAAAATAAACCCACAGAAGTCAGTTGCATTTTTATTCACCAATAATGAACTATCAGAAAGGGGAACTAAGAAAACAATTCCATTTACAATCGCGCGCACACACACACACACACACACACACACAAAACACACCTCGGAATAAATTGAACCGAGGATGTAAAAGACCTGTGCTCAGAAAATTATAAGACGCTGAAGAAGAAACCCAGAAAGATACAACCAAGTGGAAGAGTATACCATGTTCATGGATGGAAGTGTATACCATGTTCATGGATGGGAAGAATTAACATCATTAAAACGTCCATACAACCCAAAGCAATCTATAGATTCTATATACTTCCTATCAAGATACCAATGGCACACTTCACAGAACTAGAACAAATATTCCACAAATTTACATGGAACCACAAAAGACCCCGAATAGCTACAACGATCTTGAGAAAGAAGAACAAAGTTGGAGGGATCACGCTGCTTGATATCAAACTATACTACAAGGTTATAGCAATCAAAACAGGCTGGTACTGGCATAAAAAAAGACATATAGATCAGTGGACCAGAATAAACGCACGCCTTTAGGTTAATTAACATTTAACACAAGAGGCAAGAACATACAGTGGGGTAAAGACAGCCTATTTAACCAAGGGTGTTGGGAAAATTAGGTCTGTGCCAAAAAACGAGACTAGACCACCTTCTTACACCACATAAAAGAATTAATTCAAAGTGGATTAAAGACTTCAATGTAAGACTGAAAACCATAAAAATCCTAAGGAAACAGAGGCAGTAAAATCTCAGACATCTCCCATAGCAATATTTTTTCTCGTATATCTATCTCCTCAGGCAAGAGAAACCAAAGAAAAAAATAAACAAATCGGACGACATCAAACTAAAAAGGTTTTGCACAGCCAAGGTAACCATCAAGACAGCCTACTGAGTGGGAGAACCCACTCAGTAGGAGAACATATTCGCCAACAACACATCCAATCAGGGGTTAATATCCCAAATGCATAAAGAACATATAGCCCTTGCCAGTGTGGCTCAGTGGATAGAGCATCGGCCTGCGGACTGAAGGGTCCCAAGTTCGATTCCTGGTCAGGGTACATGCCTGGGTTGTGGGTTCGATCCCCAGTAGGGGGTGTGCAGGAGGCAGCCAATCAAT